TTATTACTGGGGAAACGTGTGACTGGGGTCATCTACTGGCTCGGACTGTTCAAATTCATGTTTGAAAAAAAATTTCAGAGAATTGTCTGTTTGTATCGCTCTTCGACCGCTCTAATTAATAGTAGATTTACCAATACTTTCCATTTTAGTGTGATAGAACAGTAGTGGTTTCATTGCATGGTTGTGGCGATTTGCAGCCGACGCTTTTGCGTCACTTTTGTAAACTGGATCGTAATCGAGTGCCAGCGATATTCACCATTCCATGTTGCTATCACAAAATGTCTAATTTAGGTGAATTTACAATGCTTTGTGCAGTCAAATATGGAATGGAGCTGATTTTATAGTGCAGCAAAGCAATATATAGGCCTATAATGCTTGTTATGCGTTTTTTGCTGTATAACAGCAGTACAAAACGTATACTGTCATGGGTTTGTGTGTGTGTGTGTGTTTCCCACATTTTCTCCCGCACTTTCAACTCGGGAACCCCAAAAGCTAGGCGGCTGGAATTTTAGTATAGTGTTCCCCGCCAACGGATGACGCGGCAGATTTAAATTTGGACTTCCCGTACCCGCGGGCGACACGTACGGCCCTGTAAAAGTTTTTCGGGTAAAATCAGTATCGCGGGAACCACGGAAGGTAGAAGGCTGAAATTTTGTGAGCATGTCCCCCGTCCATGTGCTACCCAGAAAATTTAAATTCAGCTTTCTCCTGCCTGTGGGTAACAAGTACGGCCCCGTGAAAATTTCTGACGGGTAAATTATTATCTCGGGAACCACGAAGTCTAGGAAGCTGAAATTTTAGGGTAAGGACCCCCCGCCCACGCTCGACTTTGCCTGTTCAAACTCAGCGTTCCTGCTCTCCCAGGTATCACCTACGGGCTAGTGAAAGTTTTTGCGGGTTAATTATTATCTCGGGAATCACAAAATCTACAAAGCTGAAATTTTGGGGTAATGACCCCCTGACCACGCTCAACCCTGTCTGTTTAAATTCAACGCTCCCGCGCTGTCGGGTATCACCTACGGCCTCGTGAAAATTTTGGCGGGTGAACTGTTAACTCGGGGATTACAGAAAAATATTCATCCTTCAAGGTTTCGAATTCGACTTTCATGCCATGCCTAGGTGCGTGAAATTTCTAACTATTTTCCAATGTTTCAACTACTTTTGCGTAGACTAAAGTACAAAGCAGCGAAAATCAATAGACAGTCGTTCGATGGGCTGAATTGCATAAAACGCATGATCGCACCGGCTAGTCTGGTGCGCCTTGATGTTTATTTATTTATGGTCTGCCATTGTTCGCAACGCTTAGTTGCTATGCGATTTAATTACCATGAATAAATGCCTATGTTGAAAAAAAGGGACTGTCTGCCCCACTGATCAGTTTCATTGTGAAAAAACCGAGCAAAGATTCGTCTCAAGGATTTTATAAAGATTATGACTAAATAACTGCAATTTTTTTAAGAAAAAGGAATGACATATTGGGCGATGAGCAACGAACTGAAAAGAATGCGGGCATTGGAAAAAATACTGCCGGTGAGTGCCCTAAGATTGGCTTGCCAGAAGCACATTTCTCGGTGAGTTGTATTTTTTTTTTTGCCTCGTATCGTATCGCCTTTTTTTCCAAATTACTTAGTTATTTTACAAGTCCTTGCGATATTGCAGCTGGCCGTGTTCTGATGCATATAGAAAGAAGCATCTGAAGCATTTCGTCAGTCGCGCTTTACTCGAATACCTCTATTCCAGCCGCGAAGGTTTTCCTTCTGTCTTTGAAGTACTGGAAAATTTGGAATGGTACTAAATTGCTAATGAAAATAATGAAATTAACAAGTTTTAAAAGGTTGACGCAAGACGGGGTAAGACGTTTCTTACGGCCACATTTGTAATTTGGTCGTACTGTAGACCAACAAAGGAAAAACAGTCGAATTTTAATATTTGGTCAAACTCCAAAAAAAGGGCATTTAGGTATCTCAGGTATGCAAACCGGTATTTAGAGTACGCGACGTCTGTGTTTCATTTAC